ACGTTTAGATGTCCGATTTTGATCAACTTTTTATCTAAAAATGAGAACTTTGCAGGTCGGATCAAAGCCGAATTTTAATTTTCTTTGAAAGTGCTAGAAAAATACGTTTGAAAACAAATATTGTGCATTATTTGAATGAATATTTTAGATTCTTAATTATAATTTTTAAATTTGTGTTTTGATCCGACCTGAAATATTGTCTTCTTTCGAAAAAAGTTAACAATATTTGACAATTTTAGGGCGTAGAGTTTTCCTAAACTGTGTTTTGATACTGAACCACTGGCTCCGACCCCTTAATTAATAAAATTTTCCAATAAGGATAACGGTATAATAGGTACTAGTTTCCTAACGGAAAATAATTCGATAATAAATTAGCAAAGACATTAGAAATTAACATTAACGATAAGAGTATAGTATTAAACCTAGAACAGAACCATTGTATCTATACCTATACTGCCCTGCTGCAAGTGCGTAAAACTCAATTTCTTATTTTGAGAAAAATGAATGTTGTTTTTAATTTTATTATAACTTTATTATTTGTTATAGCAATACGTAACTGAACGAAGTACACCGCAACGTGGCGTGAGAGTTTTTCCTGTGAAAGCATTTTTGTTCATCTAAATTGTGCTTCGATAAATAGTGACAGAAGCGATCACTGACTTGTGTGTGCGCGTGCGTAAATATCCTTATCTGCGCGTGCGATTGTCACCGCACATAACCAGTAATGCGTATCGCAGTTCCCGATAAAATTAAAAGTAATTTATTTTGACGATGCGGCGTTGTAGGTACTACTTTTTTTGTAGGTATAAACCCACTATTTTATAGTATCCGTTTATCAGTTACAAATTATAATAGCCGCCCATTGTATATCTTGTGTATTATATTATTACAGTAAAAATGTATGTAAATAAAATATAAACTAGTACCTACATTAAAATAATTCACGACTAATAATTACAATAATAATAAAACAATAATAGTTTAAAAATTGCCATTTATTTTATAATTTTAGGATCTACGATTTCTTGTAATAAATTACAATTATAAAACTCAACCAATTGAGTTTCCATTTTTTTCTTTCCAGAAGTCGTCATCGCGCATTATTATTTCTACGAACATATCTAAAAACAAAAACCATAAATATTTAAATAAATAAGAAAAACATTTGGTTATAACATATTATTGTTTATTACCTTTAGGAGTCCAAACTACAAAATAACACGAGCGTTTATTGGCCACTCTTAACTGTCCTTGAATCTGGTAGTAGTAATTATGGTTTCTTTTCATCTGCAGATCACCATTATTTTTCATATTTAAAAATTTTATTCTTTTAGTCTCAACTCCTTGGTGCGGTGTCATGTCTTTACTATTATGTGGGCATTTTATTTCAATTATTTCATTTTCTCCCACCAATCCGTCTGGAGAACCAGCTAGAAAATTAAATTGCTTGTCAACAAATAAGCCAGCTGGTAAAACTTTAACATTGAATAAAGATTCAAATGCTTCCTTAGCCACTGGTTCATATTGTATTCCGTATCTATTGGCAAACAAAACAAAACAATTAATAAATAACAAAAAAATTATTATTATGTATAAATGCATCGTAATATTGCACAGTGGATACACTATCTAAATATCTAATATGCTTACGTCATTGCTGGAGTCCTTGATGATAAATCTTCTGCGTACAGTATATACTTGACAGTATTTGTCCGAGGAGTACTTTTTCTGAGTTTGCATACTCTACCGAAATTTGAAGCAGTCAGTCGATGTTTTCGTTCTTTATGCCAAGTATCACATTTACCCTGGGGATTACATTGACACAGTTAAAATCATCAGGATCTCAAGTGTAATTTTTACTTAGTATATGATTTATTTTTCTAACCTGATCTAATGTGTTCCTTTCTAGCACACATATTTCTTGGGGATTAAGTTTTAAACTATTCAAAACAGTTACACGTTTGGCTTCCAACTCTTCTGGTGAAATTTCCAATGCAGCACAACCTAATTCATCTAGGTCCCCATAGTCTTTATCAGCCCCAGTAAAATTTTTAAATCGAGTTCTAGAACAAAACCAAAATAGCTTTTACAATTTAATATAAAAAAACCGGTAAACATTAAACGGTGATTTATAGATGTTACAAAATAACGATTAACTTTTTATTCTACCTCTTATATAACAACTTATGAGGAACCTTGTATTACATTTTCAAACTTTAGGTATAAACACTCAAAATTTTATACACTTTTCACTACAAAATAGTTTGTATATTTACTTAATTACGTAAGAATTTGAACTTTAAACGCTTATAAAAAAAATTGTGCCCATGTATTTTTGTAATTTTTAAACTACTGAAATATCAACTTATTCGAACTATCTTATATAACTTTTCAAACATTTCGTTCAAGAGAAATTTTTTTTATTAAGATTTATAAAAAAACTAAAAAAATCAGATATTTTACATTCGTATATATAGCTTGAAATTTAGTGAAATATTTTGAAAATTATTTTATGTAAAGAAAATGCTAATTTAAATATCTTGTAAAAGTTTCAAGTTTTTACGATTAATACTTTGTGAATTATAACAAAAATCAAAAACCGTTTGAGGAAAAATCTATATTTTCGCTTGAATTTCCGATTTTGTACAAATATAAATTTCAAATGTTTATTACATTTTTAACTGTTTTCCAGTAAAATTCCAAATTTAAAATTTGAATATAATTTTTGGAAAACTTACAATTTGGCTGATGATCTAAAGGTCAGCTTCTTCTTTGTTTTCGACTTAACTTCTTTGACCCTTTGCAATTTGGAAATAAAACGTTTGGTGAATTTCCCCGGGCTTTCTTTTGTAGCTGTTTTATGTAGTTTTCGTATATATTCGGGTCCAAAGTTAAATGCCGATACTGCTGTCATACACCTAGTATTATACGACCCTAAAATATTGGTAGGTATTAAATTAATATTGTGAGTAAATATATATTATAAATAATTAAAAGCATACATAATACATAAATACATAATACATTGAATTATGTACCTCTCAATGAATAATTGATTCTTTTTCCACCTACGAATTTAGCTACAATACTATTATAAGATTCAACATAATTATTGGTCAGGTCGTATATTAGGCTATCTGAATTAAATGATACTAAATTTTTAGCTGCAGAAATATCTTGCCACAAACCACAGTTTTCCATCTCGGGCACATGATTTTTACCATCAGATTCAGCTTTACAAAAATATCTAAAATTATAATAAACTAAATAATATAATATAATATTATAATAAATAAATTATTCATTATAAAATAATTAAAATAATCATTTATAAAATGTGTAAAAATAATTAATATTTTTTTTTACGGATCGCAATTGTAGTGACACCCAAACACATGATATGGCCCATTGTCGATGTCTTTTTTTAAAAATTTCGCCTTTTGAGTATGAGTTAAATTGTCATTATTTTTCCAATGTTCAATTGCTTTTGTTATTCCATACCTAAAAACAAAAAAAAATTATCATGACGACAATATTTATTTCTTAATTATCTTACCTAATTCGAAGCTTATTATCTTTTAAAAGTTTTCTTAAAAACCCCGGTACCACCTTGCCACTGGAACTTTTTCGCTTGGCTGCCATGTCATTAATTTTACTAATATAATTTCGTAATATGTGGTTTTTACACTCGATCTTTTTTATCAAACAGTTGGGTCCATACGGTTGACAAATACTTAATTTTTTATGACCGAACTATCGCCATCTCCAATAAGTTTATGGTAAATTAAATTATGCATATTTATGCTTTGTTTGAATCCCTCAAGTATTATATCTGACTCCATAGCCGTTGACGTGCCTTCCCAGTTTCTGTAACACTTGTGTGTTGAGGGTTCTTTGGAGGTTGCTTCTGCTTTCACACAAACTGAACAATACTTGTTTCTGATTCCTAAAAAGAGAACTTTTTTGGTTTTTTCACCAACAATACAACCCTATGGGAAATTTTTTTTTTTTAACTGTCTTATTATTATTTATGCATTGATGAGATTAATTATTGCTACTTACAACTCCAGACAAAGCATTGTAATTAGACTTGTAGCTTCTCTTTGACCAAGCACCATCAGCTATGACAGTTATCATAGGAACTCCATCTTCGTTTACATCACCGTTTGCTATTGCCAGGTTAGCCTCTTCTTCTGCTGCTAGTGACATTGATTCCCAAGCTGTTTCACTAGTAAACTTATAAACATTCTCGTGTAGCTTCTGATATAACTTATTGCACATACTTGGCATATTCATAATAGCAGAAAAAGTTTCCAGCTGTGTAAAACCTTGCCCTGTATTAACAACTGCCGTTACTGTTGCTGTATTGACGTTCATTAAAGACGAATTTGGATTTTCGGATTCAATAACCTCATGTATGTGACACATGTTACATGTAAACAAGAATTCACTTAAAAATCCAGTTTTTCGCTCTTCGACTAAAAGTAAATTACTAAAATTACAACCAAATGGTTGATGGTTGATTTCAGCAATTTTTTTAAACAAATAACCAATATCAACTATACGACGACCTTCAACATTAAATCTAAAAACAAAAAAAAATGTTTAAATATTAAATTTTGATTTTGAAGTTTCTAAATAAAATTTAAAAAAAACTCACTTTTGGTTAAGACCATAAGCCACATTTTTTTCTGAAGAATGGGTACTTGTTGATGGTCTATCTAATGTTTTAGAACTATATTGGGTTTCTGGTTTATTTTTTTTATTTTTTATACCAAAACTAAACAAAAATTAAACAAATAATAGATATTTCATGAACATTATTGCATATAATTAATTTACAATTTTTTGTTCACAATGTTATTCACTGTATAGTCTATAGTATTAGTCTCTCTTTGTTATAAATATCGTACTTACCTCATTTGTTTGCGTCCTTTTATCTTCCGATAAGTTGAAATATTCTTTTTTTTATTTGAATATTTTTTTTTGCCTTCCATGTCTTATATTTATTAAATAGTATTTTTTATTTTTATAAAATAAAATAAGCAGTAGGTAAGCACACACAAATATGGGGACAAGTTAGAGACTAAAGTCGGTCGTAGAGGAGACGTAGACACGTCGACGATTATGATTTCCAGTTGATAATAATAATAATAACACAATTCATAACAGAATTTCTATGAATCGATTACGCGCAGACTAATAACATTTATTTACACTTATTACACAATATATATCCGATAACGGACATCCGATAACGCGCGGCGAGTGTAATTATAGCTCACTCACACTTATATCGATTTACACACTCACATTCATGAATGGCTCACGCGCCGCCGATACAACATGTGAATTAAATTGCCTAAATTTTACTCCTTAATAAATGACCGGCACCTACCCCCTTAAAATAACTAAAAAGTTTCCAAATTTTTCAATGTTTCGAATTCCAAAAGATGAAAGACACGAATCATGGATAATTAATTCAGGTAAAAAATAAATACCTAACCTATTTATTTATTCTTAAAGTATACTTATATTTTAAATTTATTGTAATAATATTTTATAGGAAATGTAAATTTATTATCGTGTTAGACAAGACACAATTATATAATAGGTATATATGTCAAGATCATTTTTCTCCAGACTCATTTATGAATGATTCAAATAAAAATTTGAAACTAACGGCCATCTCCTACAAACATAATACAAGAAAACTGTTATGTACTTCAACTGGTAAGATAATTTTTTAATAAATGCTTAAATCATAGATCAGGAGTCAGCAACCTTTTTAACCATGTGGGCAATATATTTTTTTCACTTTTTATATAAAATTAAATAATTTGTATCTTATATCTAGAGCGTGGATTTATATTCTTTTATAAATTTGAATAAATGCTTGTAATGTTCTTTAAAAATATTAGTAAAATATGCTTTTATATCAATATATTTTTTAACGATTCACCTCCAAAATAGCGAAAATAAAAAATCGAATACAAAATATTGAGTAGGTACAAAACAACGAAAATCATTTAATTGAAAGAATAAAAAGCAAAATAAAAATAATGAAAAATATAAAAAAAAAATTAAAATGAAGACAACAATTAATTATTATTTTTGTCGTATCTATACATTGTTTATTTTTATTAATATTTTATAGGAAACTATGAAACAAATAGTAAAATATTAATAAACTAATATGTAAAATTATAGGCACTTTTAAAAAAAAAATTTAAATTATCATTTTCATCGTACATATTTACTAACTTTTGAATCTGTTCAGCCGAATCTTTGTACTTCTTTTTTTCCCCTTAATATATATTACTTACTCGATTACTTCTAAACTACGATTAAAGAATAAAGATATTTTTAAGTGTGCTACTTAATTGATAATTTACTTGTGTCTGAAAAAATCATTATCGATATTATTGTCATTCGCTTTTATCTAGATTCATCCAAACAGTTTTCGCTATTTTTAGTTTGCGGTATTTTTTTTCGTTATTTTATTTTTGCTATTTTGACGTGATAACTTTTTTAACATATGCAAAACAATGTAATAATCATAATTAATAAAATCAACATCATTATTAAAACAATAATTGATAAATATAATACTTTTGAAATTTTATTTTTAATGTTAAATGTATAAACGAAAAAACACATAATTTAAAATCACAATCTTTTTATTCAAACTAATTTATTATTCATTATTTCAAATTTTAATTGTATCTCTTTAATAACAATGTAGTGGTTTTTATGGTACAAACAAAAAAATACCATGTGTTCACCAATTAAGGGAACACTGAATTTCTTGGTTGGATATTATATTGGAATGAATCAAATTTTTTTATAAACTAGTAATATATAAATATACATATATTTATAAATTCCAATTTATTTTCATCATTTCGGAATGCACATACACAATAAAACATGTTTTTTTTTAAATATCAACTCTTATTTTGAACAAAATATTAGAATAGGCCTAATTTTTTAAGGTAATTTCGATGTATCTACCAATTAACTATGGTTCTAAATTAAAAATTGTCTGAATAAAAACCAAGAAACCAATTCAATTAAAATAAATAATACATTTTTACTATTCATAAAAATGCATAAAAGCCATTTAGAATTATTTATTATTGGTTACTTTTTGAATATTTGTACGTATTTTTTTACGGGGACATTGAAAACAATAGTCTACAAAAATTCACCAACTAATCTAACAAATTAAAAAATAAAATCGTAATTACGTGGAATAACTAATAACATTACTGAAAATCAAATGTCATCAACCAATATTTTTTTTATTTTTTTTTTGGTTTACGATCATTGAGACCATGACGCTAAACAAATTTCTCTCTATCTATCTCTATTTTCTACCGCTACTCTCCATGGTATCTCTGGTTCAATGCTTTCGGCGTCCCTTTTTTCACAGTATTCCCAACGTAAGAGTGGTCTTCCTAAGGGTCTCTTACCGACCGGATTCTCTCCAATTGTTGTTCTGACTATGGATCCTACTCTCCGCCATGCATGTCCTGCCCAGGTTAATCTCCTTTTCTTGATTTCATTCGCGATGTTCGGTGTCTGGAACAGCTCCTCGAGTTCTTTATTATGATGTTTACGCCATTCACCTGTGTTTGTGTCGAAGCATGGGCCGTAGATTTTCCGTAGGATTCTCCTTTCAAATACTTTTAATCTGGTTTCTTCTGCTTTCCTAAATGGCCATGTTTCCGCGGCATACAGTACTATGGGTCGTATCAGGGTCATGTAAATTTGGATCTTCAGGTTTGTCGATAATGTTCTTGAGCTCAGTACTTTTCCAAGACCAAAAAAACTTTTGTTGCCTTTTGTATCCTAGCACTGACTTCCATCTTCAGATCGTTATCTTATGTTAGCAAGTGCCCCAAGTATTTGAAATGTGTTACTCTTTTGAATACATACCCTTCTACAATCATGGATTGTCCTGGTGACTTAATATCATGTATTCTGTTTTTTTCGTCGTTTATCTCCAGTCCGACCTTACTAGCCATCATGATGAGTTTCATGTATACTTGTTTGACCGTTTCTTCAGTATCCCCTAATACCCCGCTATATCGTACGCATAAGTCAAAATATTTATATTCGAGTTTCCCAATACTATTCCATTGTTAAAATTTGTTTCTCTGATTACCTTTTTTAATATATGAGGTTGAACAATATTG